TTGGTCAGTTGCCTCCTTCTTAATGTCTAGTCCTGTGTTGCATCAGCGGTTCAACATCCCCATCATCCCTGTTTCTTAAACATCGCTTTTCACCCCCACACATGACAAACCAGGGTTTTATAACCCACATCAAGGGAGCTCACTTGTTGGACGCTGTAGGTTGTGAGTGTTTTGTTTTCTTACAGGCTTTTTAATAAAAAATAAATCTCATTTAACAGTGCCTGCATAAAACCATTAGGATTTAAAATAGCAGAAACGATGAGCTACTGAAATAATTTTTTCATTCTCCATTAACTTTTCTCCTTTTGGTCCTTCTCTCCCATTCTTTCTCATCAAATGTTATTTGGGGCTGTTAAAAAAAAAGCACTAACAGGATCACTTTTTTTATTTATTTAGAATTTTTCTCACAATAAGCCTTTTCAGTAAAATCCCATTTGAGAAATGGAAGTGAAGATGCCAGAAAGTTAGGAGTGACAGGGGGCTCAAGTTAGTTTAAAAATAAGGAATTGGACTCAGAAAGCCTAAGTGACTTACAACACTGAGAAAGTGATGAGGATATTCTTTTTCTGAGAGCTCAGTGTTTTAAGCCTCCCAGCTTCAGCACAAAAGGCATTTCAGCACATATGTGATCCAGAAGGTCAATCATATGAAATCCTATTTCCATTTTTTAAGCAATCCTTGGCAGTCTGCACATTTCTGAAATTGCAACTGGCATATTTCACAGAGAATTATCATCAATGCCTTTTCAAGGTCAAACATGGCCCATCTTTAGATTTTCAGCATTTATATCCCATATATTAAATCATAGCATATATTTAAGAAGGTATTCAGCAGACATGTTAAAGAATTTTAATTGATTAAGCTATGTTCATTAATGTCATGTAGAATTTGTTTACAACTGGACATAAATTACATGTTAAAAATATTAAAATATGTGTTATATTTAGATGTGAGTATTCTGCTTCTGTTGCCAACCCTGAAACCCCGAAATGCTTGTGTGACTGGAATCTTGCTAGGGGGTTTTCAAAAATATTAAAAATATGTTTTCTATTCAGAAGATTGAAGTAATTCCAAAAATGTACTGTGAGAAGAAAATAAAAGATCATTATGTTTTCAATTGTCAGAATCCCAAAATACCGGCCACCATATGAACAAAATAAAGTTGAATTTGGATATTACAGTGGACACTGAGAGAGGATAAGTTAAGAAACCCACAGCCAGCCCTGGCACAGAGTCACGTGAGGCTTTTGGGCCCCTCACCGCATTTTTGGCTTGGTTGATGTTTCTCTCTCAAATCCCACCCCCTCCAACAATATCCAGAGACCTCTATGTCCTCATGTTGTACATGGGCCATGCTTTTGGAAAAGAAAGACATCTAGAAGTCTCAGTAATTTAGGAGGTTTTGCTTGTATTTTGTCTCTTCCAAAGGTATTTACAGTAATTTTTCCTTCTTGCTCTTAAGCCATTAACATTTCCCTTTCTATTGTAATCATTCATATCAGCATTTTAAATAAGCTAGTTTTCTCTCTTCTTAAAGGAAAAATAAATAAAAAACAAAGTACCAAAGGACCCAGTTTCCACTACAACTACTCTCCGTATTTTTTAATTTCTTTAGCCTCCCAAAGCCCTCAAAATGATTCTCTATATTTTGCTTCAGTTCCTTTCTTCCCACTCTCTCATGAATACAGTCTCACTGGGTTTTGTCCCTAGGCCTTCACCAAAACTGTTCTTGTCAGTAACACCAATGTGGTAAGAGATGTCAATTCTCAGGTTTCAACATGGCTGATCCATCAGTAAAATCTATCTTCTTTAATCACTTTTCTCACTTCACTCTGAGACATCACCTTCTTTCATGGTTTTTCCCCTCTCTTACGGCTGTTCTTCCTGGATTCTTCTATTGTTCCTATCATGTAAGCAGTCAGGTGCCCCAGGGAACAGTCAGGGGTGCTTCTCCCAACCCTCTCTAATTTTATATTCTAGGAATACTCGACTAGGCTCATGCCTTGAAATCTATAGACGATGATGACCCTCATATTTATGTCTCTAGCTTTGATTTTACCATAAATCCTGGACCCAACTATCTATCCATGATTCTCTACTTGGACATCCAAAAGGGCTCACAAAATTGGGATACCAAAGCTGAGCTTTTATTCCTTTAACAGTTAACTCAAACTTCTTCTCTTCTAGTCTTTGCCATTTCATTTAGGCAAAAGACAAAGCATTCATTCTTCTTGTGTCTTGGGTGAAAGACAAAGCAAAACACACACTTGTACACATGCAAAAAAAAAAAAACAACAGCAACACAAAGTTGAAAGCCATTTTCAGTTTTTTTTTTCTCTTGCTCAACTCCTACATCTCATCAATTAGAAAATTTTGATGGTGCCCATAATTTGATCATTTTATGCCACCTTTACTATTACCACCCTAGTCCAAGCCACCATCATCTCTCACCTGAATTACTGCAAAGGCTTTCTCCCTGGACTTCCTACATTTAGCCATGCCCAATCCATCTGTTCAACACAGAAGCAAGAGTAACCCTGCCAAGATGTTCAGTTAATGCAGGTCACACCTCTGCTCAAAAATCTTCAGTGAATTTTGTTTTCTTCTTCAGAATAAAACACAAGGTCTACATTACCTGGTGGCCTTCTACCAGTCTAGACTTACATCCCCCCACTCCTTGCCTTGGTCGCTGTGTGACACCTTGTCCTCTGCTTGGAATACATCGAACTTGCTATTCCCTCTACCTAGAGTTCTCTTCCTGCCAATAGCCATACACCTCACATTATTGGCAGCACTTTTCCAATGTCTCAAACATCATTTAAGGGGCCTTCCCTGGGCTCTATTTTTATCTTCTTTACCAAGCTTTGTTTTACCACTGGTTTTATATATATATATTAATATCTAATTACGTTTAGTGTTGTCTCCTCTTCACCCTTCCCTCAGAATGTAGCTTCTTTATATCAGGAACTTTGTTCTGTTCATTGCTGTCTCATCAAGGTCTGGAACATTGCCTGGCACTTAGCAAAATTTTAAGATGTATTTCTCCAATCAGTTAATACATTTAACAGCAAATGTTTATTGAACAATAGATCTACTTTAGATCCTGTTTGAAGAACTGTATAGAAAAATAGGATCATTCTCATGAAACTTACACTGTAGTTTGGACATCAGCAACCATGGTGCATACTGCATGCATTGTTTGCCAGTGGCCTTGAATCATCTTGACCTCAGGTGTGAGGTGCCCTTTCTATCTCACCTGGATCTGTGTCATTCCTTATGACCTGGATTAAGTCTCTCTGCCTGATCCTTACTTCAGGGTGGAATCAGAATTCAATTTAAAGATAAGTCCACTGTCTTAATATCTTTAGATAGAACCCTTCTAAAGTTTGTTGATGAAACACAGAAGTTAGTAGTACCATGATAAGCACACTTTAGTATTCTGTAAAATCTAATGCAACTACTTCAAATAATTCTATATTTAAGGTTAAAGAAAAGAATGAATTATTGAGTTTTAATGTCGAGATCAGGAAAACTTTCATTTTAGAGGTGAAGTTGTTTTAGAAGACATGTGGGTTATCCATTTTTGTAATGAATTTTAGAAAACTCATTCTCATAAAAGCAAAATGCTTGCATACATACATAAGTCTATCAGAATTAATTCCCAGGGAGAAAAATTGTCCTGAAGAAAGGACATTTAGTGTATTTTAGAAGGAAATTGGTGATACCAACTAAAATTGGGTAGAAATAAAAAATTACATAATCCCCAACAACACATTGACTTAAATATACACAATTGTGGAAACATTTATCAAGTATGTAATTTCACAAACATTTTTATACCTGGTAATGCATGGATTTCCATTTTAATAGTCCAAAATAAAAAGATTACCCTCTTTCAAAAATAATCCTCCGTAACATTTCTCTTTTCGGTTTCCAATTCTCTCTCTCTCTCCCAAACTTCTCATATAAAGTTCTATACCATTAAACGATTAAAGTAGTGCATCCTTATCTAGTTTCATTATAAGAATAAATAGTTCATCTTAAAATAATAACTTCCCTAATATCATAATGTTCACAGAGCATAAGCAAAGTATTAATGTCGGATTAAATGAAAAAGTCCACCAACTATCAAAATAGTTTAACTAATATTATTCAGTATCCAGCTAATTGATATGAATTAATTTTCTAAATTCTGAATCTTTGCACTTAGTAAATAGACCTTATTGAAAAAATAAGACTTTGTATAACACAGGATGCCTCTACCTGTACCCCTATTGAGCACGCACACACACATACACACGCCAGAAACACTATGACATTCTTTGGGAAATCAAAAGATGTATATCCTTCTTTGGGTTTCATTGCCCCAGGAAATTTAGCCTCAGTTTGGAAGCTGTAATCTGGCACTTATTTGCTTGTAGCTGTAGGTTTTGCAGCATAAAAGTCATTTCATTTCAACAAACCTGGGGCACTTGGTACCAGACAAGATATGTAATAGTCATAAAACTCTGCACAGAGAGCACACAGTGAGGGTTCCCCCTGCCTTCAGAGGCTCATATAATTCTAATTATCGATGAGTCTTTTTATAATCTAAGAGGAAGATGACTATTATAAGGTAAGAACTATAGACAAAGATCATTAAATAAGGTGGGGATTTTCATCAAACATTGACTATGAAAGTGCTTATGTGCTCCCTTGGGCTTTTATCAAGAGGTTGTTTGGTATGACTTTTTATTAAAGAAAACTGAATTCTTTCCCAGTCCCAGCTGTACCTCCATATGCACAACACACCAGTAAATAACTTTTGTTAGCTAATGCGAGAGTCCTGTGAGTCAGAAGAATTGTATTTCTGTTATAGTTGAGGTGCCAATTTCACTTTGTCTCCTCAAGCCTAATTGTGGTAAACATCCTTCCTGACCAGGTGACAACATCACAGGCTTTGCAGAACTCACTGGTTTCCTTGTGTACGCAAGACTCAGAATACTTTTATTTATATTTACCGTTTTATTGCTTCTTCTTGTCTTCGGCGTTTTTCACTCTTCTCCTTCAAGTAGGCCAGGTTGGTTTCATTCCTCAAGCGGTCATTCTCTCGAGCAATGTCTGATGCATTCTGAATAACCAAGCCATCGTAGGCCTTCATCCCCATATCCTCAATATATTGGAGAAATGTGTCCAAAGGGTCTTCCTCGGGATTAGAACTCATCATCTTGGAGGGTATCATGTAAAAAGGAACACTTCCTGTAGGATGAGAACACATTTTACCTTTATCAAAGGTGAAGATAAAAAACAAGGTGCTGTTTATTCACCCTAGTATCTCGTCAGACCAAAAAGCTCCAGTGATTATGGTAGAATCTATTTGGAGAAAATGCCTCATTAGAAACTACAAACCATCAAGAGTATTTGAAGTAAATATTAAATGAATGTTGCCTGAGTAGCAAACACTCCTCAAACCAACAAAATTAGCACAGCAAAGGCCAAATCTCTCGCAGTGATAGGTAATGTGAGCATACAAATACAGTGTGCCAACATCAATGTTTGGTTTATGTATTTAGCGTCATGGTTTTGTTTCTCAAAAATGTGTTCTTATATCAATAAGATATATCAGATCCAAGCTTCATTTATTCCTAATTGCCATAAAGACTTCTTTGCTCAATCTGAAATAAAATGATATAATTATTTGGAACGAACTTTCTTATTGTGTGTGTTTTCCTTATAATTTTAAATTAAGATCTACAAACCTAAACTGTTTGTGCAAAATATAAGCAGTACTCAAGGAAATACACATTTCTAATATAATTTGTTTTGGAAATAATCCCTTTTTGACCCAATATTATTTTCCAAAATGGTGCTCCATCATGGCTTCCTACTATGATTCAAATATCATAGGTCACCAAGATCATATTAATCTTCACCAGTCTGGTAATTCAAGCAGTGACAACTACAATTATCACTGCTATATGAAGGTTTAAAAACCCAAGCCATAGAACGGATTACCAAAAAACTAAAATCAAATCAAAACAATAAAACATAGGACTTTCAACCAATACATATTCCGCTCACCTACAAAATGATGGAATAATAGCTTCTACCTCCTGTTGATGTAACCATTTAGAGAGGTGATGGTATAAAGAATTTAGTATAAAGTTTAACAATAATAAGCATATAATAATTTTAGCTAATATTATCATAACAAAAGTACATGTAGAAGATTGGCAGCAATGGTAATGTCAAATGTGTCTATGTGTATAGATAGATGGGTGATGGATAACCAAGAGGCTATGAAAATCAAGATGCCTTGAAGAAGAAGTATCCAATGAATCATAGAAATCAATGAAGCCAGGGGATAGAGAAATGGTGCTTTAATCAATCAAAAAAAGAACTGAAATTTAATTAATTAATTGCCTACAATTTAAGTATTTTACCCATCTAGCTTAATAAGACTTCCTGTCCGCTACTGCATCTTCACTGTTGTATAGGAAACCAGTATAATTGAGTCAGATTGAAAAATCAAAAGCAAAATCAATTAACAAGAAAAAAAGTTGGTCATTTAAAATTATAAATTGTATTTACATCTTTTATTTCCTTAAAAGGCTCAAAAAGACACTTTTAAAATATCAGCCCAGCTATCTAATGTAGGCTTTCGTTTTTGCCATTACAAATAATTTTCATTTTGATTTTTTACACGTATAATCATGTTCCCTACCTGGATGGTAGCTATGGAAACTTTTTTTCTTATCAGAGTTTATTAGCATTTCAGCTGCCAGTCAATTCATATGTTATTTGAGTCCCATTCTGAATTTAAAGACTCATTCTCCAATCTGTAAGAAATTGTCGAAACTAGAGGATAGGAGCTGTTTGTTGACTCATGATTTCTTTTTTGTTATGTTAAGTTTGATTATGTTTGGTTTGGTTTTAAGTCACAATGTGTTGGCAAATGAAATGATCTTTTAATTCCAACTATCTAGCACAATTGAATTGCATTGTAATATCAGTCCATGAGTTTAGATCCTCAAGTGGTGGACATACATAGAAATAAGAAATTACTGCAATGAACGACTGCAATTTTCAGGAAAAAAAAATATAGGAACATGATTCTCAGAAAGCTGAAGCATTACCATTACTGAGAATTCATTTCTACTAGAGACTTCAGCACTAGGTGTACCTGGATAAAAAAAAAAAAAAAGATCTGTATAACTTTATGGCAATTAATTCTACCATAGTTAAGCAAGCCAAGTCAGTATCACAAGGATTCCAGAGATAATGCCTCAGGGTGGAAGATGAACACTCCCACTTTGCCCTTGAGCTAAACTGTATATATCCCATTGTGAAAGGCATTACCCCCAAATTTGTGTTTCTTCCTTTAAATTTTCTTTCCATCCAAATGACACCAAACATCCTTTATACAGTTTATACATTCCAAATATTAACAAGGTTAATTGGGTACTTCTGAAAATTAATTATCTCTCTAAGTAGTCTTTCAAATAGGCTGGAGTTTAAATTGTGTTTATTCCGAGACAATATTAAACAATAATATCATAAAATATTTAAACTATGGAAAGTTGTACTATGAGATTTTTTTTAAAAAGTTGAGATGAAAATTTAAGGGATAAAAATCAACCATAAAATCTAGTAAAACTTCCAGATAATGAAATCTGATGAATGCGAGCATGATTGTCATCTAGTTCTAGGGAAGGATTTGATTCTATGATTGTTCATTTCTTCTTATTATTATTTTTAAGATTTTATTTATTTGAGAGAGACAGAGAGAGCACAAGCAGGGGGAGTGATAGGCAGAGGGAGATACAGACTCCCCACTGAGCAGAGAGCCCAATGCAGGACTCGATCCCAGAACTCTGGGATCATGACCCGAGCCGAAGGCAGATGCTTAACTGACTGAGCCACCCAAGCGCCCCTATTCAAGTATTTCTTGAGCAGCTATTATGAACGAGGCACTGATGAGGCAAAACTGTGTCCTTCTAGACAATCACATTGCACTGTATAAGCATGATAAATAAAAAATTGCAATGCAGTGTGACAAGGGCACTGATTCAGGTGCCAGTCGTGGGTTTCATTAGTTCCTCATGATTTGCGGTCACCAATTTTTGAGGATGAACAAAGAACATTTTTCACCAATTATATCTAGGCTTCGAAAATAAACATAAACAATGGACTTGGACCCTACCAATGTTTAAGCATCACACTTTTCTGCTCTCTGGTCCACATGTAAAAGATAGTTTGTAATGGGGGACAGGGCAGAGGGCAGTTAGGCAGTCCTGAAGAATGTAACTGAGAACTTGAGCAGTACAGCCTGAAAATCCTAATGAAAGTGCCCCTAAGTCTCTCTGACTTTGTGCAATTTAATGAACCCCTCTAAGCTTTAGTTTCCATGTTTTTGCAATGGTGGTTGGAATGATACCTCCTTACACTATTGGAAGTTTGGTTAGAAAATTCATATTCAAGAAATGTCAGCATAATCACCAGTCAATAACATTGCTATTAGATACTTTTCACAATTCTTAACCATGGCCAAGATTATGTTTAGTAATCACTCCTTGATAAACACATTTTTACTTTGGAACATAAGTGAATAGAACGTTTAGTGCAGTTCAATGTTCTTAGTCACAGATGTGCAAATGGAGGCATGGAAGGCATTCATAGACTTGCCCCCTAACCAAATGCATGCAGACAGATCATTTATCCATTCTGCCCGATTTTCTATACCTAGAAAATAAAGGAATTGGCACATAAGAACCATGAAGCTCAAACACTCAGACTCTACCCTTCCAAGCCAAAGAATGTTTCTCAGCCAACTGAGCTCTGAATGAAATGATTCATTCATTCACTCCTCACTAAAGGAAGGTGAGGCCTCACTAAAGAAAAGTGGACTTGATGTGAAGTGTCTATTTTATTACAACGGCTACAATTTCTATGTAGTGAGAACCCACAGTCAGGTATGATCATAAATCTGTCTTTCAGAAATTTATAGTTATGGCTAAGATAGATATTGAATAAGGTACGCTCTGTACCACTAAAAACTTGGCTTCGTTTTGACTGCTGGGTATTAAATCAAGTTCATTTCTGGCCCTTGAACAACAATCCTGTATGCAAGTATTTTGTAAAAGCTTGTCTTGAGCACCTAATTCCTAATGTTGACATCTTAGGAAGACCATAGTTAAGAAGCAAAAGAGCCCCTCTCCTTTAGGTAGCATCTTTAGCCCTACTATAATAAGTAAGAAATTCTTATTAGACCTCAAATGATTGCATGGTACATTTGTGACAACAAAGTGAGTGAGGTTGAAGGGAGCTTTTGATTGTGCATTTCTCCAGTTATCCCCTTTATTTGAATTTGTATGTGTCTGAAGCCATTTTTGCTCCTAACAAATTAAATATTTTAGCCCCCTCACCCCCAGAGCATTGGTTAAAAGCTGACATCCTTGGTCTTCATCTACAAGGTAGAAAGGTCTTAATAAGAATGCATGGCATGGACTCAAATAGTGCAAGATTTGTATGTGTGTTCTTTTTTCTTGGAAGTTGTGGCTAATATTGAAAATCTGTGTCAGGACTGTCCTGAGAAAGCACTTAAAATGACTGAGATCAGAATCCCCATACAAATCAGATAGCTTCACATCTTCACTTTACACCTTTCTTCCACTGCTGTATTGTGCATTCATAAAACCCTCCTTTTGTTTGATTTTTGGATTATTGTATTTAATTAATTTAAATTTAAAATCATTGCCATTGTAATAAAAGCTACAGATCTTGGCTTAAACACAACTGGATAGTTAACTGCTCATCTTTATTTTATTCTTTCACTCTTGTTACTTATTTCCTGTAGACCACACCCTTCACAAAGACTATTTTATATAATATTGTGACACTTTCTAAAATTTCACTCTACTCAGCTAAGATGCACAAATTTAAACTGGTGAGATTGAAGTCCATATTTAAAATATTAAGCATTTAACTTTGTATTGAATTAACCATATCTCTATTTTCTTTTGTGTAAAACCATCACTTATCCATTCTGAGCCTAGAGCTGAAAATAGCATTACATTTCTTTACAATGTTTCCACTGAAATAAAACTATTTATCAGATATACAAAGGTATCCAAATAGAATCTATAGAAACACAAAAATCCACTTCCTTTTTTTCTCTTTCTGTAGCCACTACTTGCACCCAAGGAACCCAAGAAGCTGAGACACTACATGACTTTCAATGTT